TTTGAAGGCGGCAGCTGTGGAAGAGTTGGGGCTACAATGTCTAGCACATATTAGCTCTCCCATGTATATTCCAGTGTGCGAATGAACAAGTCAGTGACTCTCACTAGGGAACCAACTGCTTGGTGGTGTCCCGGGGACCTAGTACATCGCCAGCAAAACATTTGCTGAATGAATAACTGAACAAATACATAAGCGAACGCACTCTATGAAACGAGCTGGTCAGTGTCTGCTGGAGACTCAACAGACACCTGGAACGTGGGACCTCAGTAGGAGGGACGCCTGCATTTGGGCTCCCTAATCCCACCGAGCCCCAGGGATTCCTCACACTTCTCCTCAGCCTAGACGGGGTCCATCACAGCCTATTCCCAACATCCTCGAGGCCAACCCATGCTCACTGCTGCATCCCTCTATAGAGCGCTCAGCATCGTGGACTGCTGTTTAGAAAACTGCTGAAGACCAGGTTGCTGAGACAAGAGGCAGAGGTGCACCAGGTGCCAGCTGATGTTATGGAAATAGCTCTGGCGTCAGTCAGTTCGATGCTCCTGGGCAAGTTCCTGAGAGTTTTTTCAGCCCAAGTTTCCCCACCCGAACAATGATAATAAAATGACACCTGAAATGTGTGAAAATGAGGTAAGGTATGTTAAGTGCCTGATCCCAAGTAGATTCTTATTAATACAGACTTTTGCTTCTCATTTCACACACCCAATATCCTGTTATTGGCCAGCAGGTATAGGAACTCAGCTCGGGGGGTAACAGCAGAAACAGGATCAATGCTGTTTTCACTTTTGGCCCCTTGAGTGATCTTCGAATTTGACCTATCCCATGCCACTCATATCCTAAGACTGATTTCCCCCTTCATGAGTTTGCTGAAAGCAAAGGTAACAATCCCAATTACCACTTATTAAAGAAAGGAAATGGGGCTTCCCTGGTGGCACAGTGGTTGAGAGTCCGCCTGCCGATGCAGGGGACACGGGTTCGTGCCCCGGTCCGGGAAGATCCCACATGCCACGGAGCGGCTGGGCCCGTGAGCCACGGCCGCTGAGCCTGCGCGTCCGGAGCCTGTGCTCCGCAACGGGAGAGGCCACAACAGTGAGAGGCCCGCGTACTGCAAAAAAAAAAAAAAAAGAAAAGAAAAGAAATGTATTTCTTTGAATTAAAAGCATGTTTGCCTCAACAGACACCATGTCAAATATAGGGACTCACAAAGAATTCCCCGTATTTCCACCAGCTGCCCTTTTCCACTTGACACTGCTGCACTGTCATCCACTGTCTGGCCAGGACAGGGACCATGGAGGGTAGGGTCCCCCCCTAGAGAGGGCACGTGCAGACCCTCAGTCCTCAACTCTAGCACCCCCCGCCCTGTTTGGCTGCGTTCACAATGGTCCCGGGTATTATTCACTGGGTAACCCATGGCACCAGACACAATCACCCTTTCACTAAGCAAGGATGACAGACTTGGGCGGCGGGATGGATCTGAAACTGGCGGCTGCAGTTCCAATTTTGACAGACATCACAAGCAGGCACGGGAGGTGGGTCAGGCCCTCATTTCCTTTCTGTGCAATTACCGCAGTGACACCTCCACCTTCACTGCACACCCCTGCCCTGTCCATTTTCTGCGACCATATTTGCATTTTCTAAACCACAAACAGGAAAGTGTTGTTGACCTACTCAAACCTTTCCATGGGTCTCCATTACTCTGCTTTTCAAAAGTTTTCAGCAAACCACCCTTAACTTCAGAAGGCCTTGCTACCCGAAGCATGGTACCTGAACCAGCAGCAATGCCATTACTTGGGAGCTTGTGAGAAATGCCTAAGTCAGGTCCTTAACCATAGGATTAGAATCTGCATTTTAACAAGGCCCCAGGGGTTCAGATGCACTTTAAGTTTGAATATCAGCATTGCTCCAGAGGCTCAGGACAGGGCAAGAAGCAGCTCCAAGTGGGAAACTTCCTTAGCCAGTGGTGTGTCATTTTAAAAACTAAAAAAATACTTTTTCTGTCAAACATTCAAGTAAGTTGACTATTCAGAATGCATCAATACATTCCTTGGCAACAGGTACCCTAGAGCGCATCTAGGTACAGCACAGAACACAAGACCCCAGGTGGAGAAGCATGGACACACACAGAATCAAGTTTAAACTCTTCAAAGCCGTATGAAGACCTCCACAGCCACACTTCCTATGTCCCTCATTGCCTCCCTGTTCTCTCACAACACCCCAAAGCCCTCCCCACCATGCCACGCTTCTACCTGCCTATGGACCCCAGGGTCCGTACTGTACCCTTAGTCCCTGGGCCTGGGCAGTTGTGCCTATGCTTCCAGGCCCAGACCAAGAGTCCTTGGGTCTGAAAGCTTTTTCCCTCAGACTCCCCGATGCTCAGGTGACTCTCTCCTCAATGCTCCCACCGCAGCATAAACACGGGGTATCCAAACCTCTTCAATGCCTTCAGCTGTCCTGGTTTACACTTATGATCCCACACTAATTACTACTAGGGCCACCCTTCACTCTCTTTTGTTTTCTTTTCTTTTTTCCCCATTTTTCACCATGCCTCGCGGCCTGTGGGGTCTTAGTTCCCCAACCAGGGATCAAACCCGTGCTTTCTGCAGTGAAAGCTCGGAGCCCTAACCACTGGCCTGCCACGGAGCTCCCAACACCTTTCACTTTCAAAACTGCCTCGGTTTGACAAATGACATGACCGCCCTAAACAGGCGCTCAGGCCATGAGGCCCAGAACCATGGTCGAATCCTCGCACATCCACACCCAGGCCCTCAGCGTATCCCATCTGCACCGCCTTCGGGATGCAGTCCACACACGTGCCCGCGCCGCAGCGACCACTCGGCCCCCAAGTACCCCAGCTCTCCGCGGGCTGCTTCCCTCACTCTCATCCTTGCTCTACTCACAGTGATCAATTTTCAACACGGCAGCCGGACAGCCTCTGCGTATGTGGTCAGATCCTGTCACTCCTCTGGTTACACCCTCAAACTGCTTCCCAAAGTGCTCCTTCTGCCCACCGTCTACTGCCTTGTCCCACAGCACTCGGGGCTCAGGCTGTTCCTCGCCTCTCTGCCCTGCTTGTCCGCCTGCCTGGAGTGTCCTTTCCCTAGATAGCCCTGTGTATATTCCACACACCCATCTTTGCCCAGATGTCACTATATCAGAGATGTCACCTGACCATCCTCTATAAGACAGCAGTGCAGCCCCAGCACCCTATCTTCCAGAGCCCCCTTCTTGCTTTTTCTACAGAACTTACCACTATCGGTGTTATTTCTCCCCCTGCCTTACTACAGTCAGGCACTGTTCTAAGTTTCTTATGAATGTGAGGTCCAAGGGTACAAGCACTTTGTTCCCTGATGTTCCCCAGTACCTGGGGACACTCAATTTGAACACATTTCCCAAATCAGAAGTATCTGACCTCCTTTTGACAATGACAACAATCAAGGAGACACTTTCATTCTGAAAAAAGTTTATATATCTCAACTTTTCTTGACCAACTCAGTGGCTTTGGTCATTTGCACAAAGACTCTAAAAACTGGCTTTCAGCATTTGTTTTTCCAAGCCAATGAACTTCATCATGACAAGCTAGAGCTCTGACCTCAATCCCTGTGACGTCTGCTCTGATGACCTAGCCTGGACATCACCTAAACCTGGAAGATGCCTCCTACTATCAGTTTGGGGCCTACCGTGGCCAGCTGCATGCTTTCCTCCCCAACCCTGCCAGGCTTCTGCAGAGGAGCCCCTCAAACCATAATTATACTATATGAAATAATTTTAGCCCCAAGTCAGCAAACACATGTAGTACCTAGAACTCATCCCCCATTTCAGGTTACTCACCAGACAGGTTACAAGATGTACACCAGTTAACATGCCACAGAAAAATTATAATTCTGAAAAACCAAACAAACAAAACCAAAGCAACACAGATGTGCTGGACTGCAAAATCCCAAAATTCACATGCCACCACTCGACGTGCCCAACAGCCCTCTGGGCCTTCTCAATCTTATCCGAAGTAGCGGCATCCACACCCTTGATTGGGGTTTGGGTTCTTGCTTCGGCAGCTGCAGCCAAGTAGTGTCTTCCTTCCTTTTTCTTTTTTTTTTTTTTTTTTCGGTACGCGGGCCTCTCACTGTTGTGGCCTCCCCCGTTGCGGAGCACAGGCTCCGGACGCGCAAGCTCAGCGGCTATGGCTCCCGGGCCCAGCCGCTCCGCGGCATGTGGGATCTTCCCGGACCGGGGCACGAACCCGTGTCCCCTGCATCGGCAGGCGGACTCTCAACCACTGCGCCACCAGGGAAGCACCATTCTTTCTTGCATAACTCTGACTTCAAGTCTCTTTCTTGGCTCCCAAATTCCAGGAAGCATTAAAAAATAGCAAAGCACAACAGTACACTTTCAAACTTTAAAAATACAATAAAATCACAGTAACAAAAATAGGACCACACAGCAGTTTACAATCTAGGCCCTGTTCCTGTTCCTTTACGTAACGGCATTTACTTAAAAGCTGTCTTTTCCAAGCTGAATGCACCTAACAGTCAAAATCCACATATGACAATATAATACTGAAACCATCTACCATACTGGTACTGGAGATTTAGTGTCCAACAGGGCGAAAACGCAGAAAGAAACGTAGAGAGAGAAAACGAAAGACTCTTGGTTTCGGCCTCTCCAAGCAGTCATCCTCCTTACCAGCTGAACGGAGTCCATCAGCTGATAATCGACAGTACGAGCGGGGGAAGTTCATTAACACGACGTAAATTCTAAGACTCTCATACCGAGGAGGCAAACAAGAAACCACCCGTGCAAAATGCGACCACTTGCCCTAAGGTCATCTGAGACGGTGCAGGCGCATCGCAGCCGGTCTCTAAGGCGCCCCTCTTTTTTTTTTGGCCCTACGGCCGGGGTTTTCACCCCAGCGACTGAGCTGGTCCACATTCTGCAAATATTTTACTAGAAGGGATCTTTACGGTTCACAACAACATATCAAATCATTTTCTTCTAATTGCCAACGTTAAAAAAATAAAACGATATCTAAACGAGAAGCTGAGCGGGGTATTATCCTCGTTCTGCCCCCGCCGCCCAGCGCGGAGGCTGCGATGCCGGGCGAGCCGGGCTCCCCTCCCCCCGTGGGCCGGGGCCCACCCGCCCCCGCGTCGTCAGTCACACCCGCTCCCGTGCATCCGCCGGGGCAGTCCGCGGCCCTCCTCGCCGTCAGCGCGGCCTCCGCCGCCTCCGCCTCCTCCGCCTCCTCGCACAGGCTTATCACCCTCTCTTCCGCCGTGGCGCCGCACTGCGGGCGGGGTCCCGGGCGCGGGCCTCCGAGACCCCCACCTCCCTCTCCTGCAGCCGGCGCGCCTTCAGATGCGCGCGCACGTGCTCGCGCTCGCGGACGGCGAGCCCCGGCGGGCGGGCGGGAGGCGTGGAGCGCGGGGCCTGGGAACTTCTCCCAGGCGTCGTCGGGCGCACGTTCCAGCTTCGCGTCTACGGGCCACCTCGCGCCGCCACCGCCCCGTGACCTCGAGGCCTGCTCACCGCCCCCGGGAAGGCGGCCGGCCGACAGCTAGCTCTGGGCGCGGGGTTGAGCTCCGCGAAGCGCCGCTGTAGCGGGCAACAGGTTTTTGAGTTTTGTTTTTGATAGAGCTTTGCTTTTCGCCTGAAAGCCACACCCAAAATAGCCCCCGCCCCGTGTACCGACGCTCTGTTGCTTTGCAGCCCCTTTCACGACACGCCGGGACCCCTTTACGGCCACGCCCCGGGTGGAAACACTGAGCTGGCGCGTGCCCGCGGGAGGGGGCTGTTGTGCTGTTGTCGCCGCCCTTCCCGTTTCCCGGTCACGGCCTTTCCCTTGGGTCTTGAGGACATGGGTTTTAACTCTTGAGTTGTGATAGTGATTTTTCCACACCGGAAGTACTGAGTTACACCAGACACTGTGACCACGGGCTGCGAAGCCCCCGGCTGCCTGCCTTCCCCACCTCCCTGAACTCCCCAAAGCAAAGGTTGATTTGGCGCCTCAGCCCTTAGCCACCTGGCACGGAGCGGGTCCTCAGGGAGAGTATATTAAAACGAAATCGTTACCAAACTAATGTCTGCGAGGAGAGCTCTAAGCACCCTGTGTGTCAGGGATGAGTGATAAGTTCGTGTTCTCGCCCCGTGGCCCCTAGACACGGTAACACTAAAGATCGTGTGCCCACGCATTCCCTGTCGGGGACACAGGACGCCTGGGGGCCGGCGGGGCCGCACGAGCAGCTTTCTCCCAGGGCTCGGGCCGTCTTCCTAGTGACGTGGCGACAGGCTGCTGCACGTGCTCGTTTGGGAACCAAGCTGAATGCCTGCCGGGCAACCACAGATCTGGGTGGAGGCCGTCTCTCCCACTCCGCCCTGGGGCACCTGTCCCAGGCCGTACCCCTCCCTCCCTAGCCTGCCCTCCAGGGGCCACTTCCCAGTGTGGCTCAGACACCCGGGGAGAGGCGTCCATTCCTGGGTCTGGGTGCCTGTCTGGGTGTGTGGGTGGGAGGCTTTGCTCCCTCGCCTCGCCTAGCGTCGCCTCGGGGAGTTCCTTGCGCCAAGTGCTCAGGACCCTGAGGGGTGGAGGCGTCACTGTCCTGAGCAGCTGGGGGTTGTCGGGCGCGGGCCGCTGTGGCTCCTGGGGGGCCGGGGATGGCTGTGTGCGTGGGCTGGGTGCACGCGGGGTCTCGGCCGCCCCAGGACTCTGCACAAAGGACCCCTCCTCCTCTCAAAGCCATTGATGGAGCTTCTCTGGAATTCTTTGCCAAAATCCCAAGGTAGAATCCAAGGGTCCAAGACCATTTGCATCCAGCACACGTTTTCCTTTTCTGTAGGAACTTTTTTGTCGTTGTTGTTTTTTAACCAGCACCACACCATGCTTCAGAAAGCCATGTTTCATCTATCCTGGATCGCTACAGTGAAGTATTACAGTTGTACAGTTCCCAGTCTGGCCTTGGCTTGCTCGGATAAAACTTTGTATGTATTTTGTAAGGCATAGATTCTAAATTGTAATGATGTCCTGTGCAAAAAGAAAAAATATTAACTAAATTGTAAATTTTATTGTTTTAACGTATATGCGTGTTTAGCGACGTTTACATTTTGAAATAAAATTTATGATCCATTAAAAAAAAAGATTGTGTGTGTGTGTGTGTGTGTGTGTGTGTGTGCCCTGCTTGCACAAGTGCTGTGGACTTGGGCCTCAGTTTTCCAGTGGATCATGTAAACAAAAAAAAATATTGTCTGCCATTCCAGTTCTGTTAATACAAGGATCAAGTCATTAGCCACTGTGGTTGCCCCCTCACCTCACTGTGGTGTGCCCTGAGAGGAATTCGGGATGGAAAAATAGAAAGGATTTTGTGCTTTGGACATACCAGCCCCGAGATAGTTCAGATACGTATCTAAGGAAAAATTTCATTCACCTCAGATTCTTGCATCTTCCCATGCACAGAAAAGCACTGAAGTCATTAACTTGAGATGTCTCTTTCTTTGTGATTAGTGGTAATGTTTTGATATTTGAAACATGTTTTTTTTCCAGCAAAAAAAATTCGTATATAGCCTGTCTCCTCTGTTGCCTCTTTGGAGCAGATCTTTAAGAGCCATCTGAGAGACTGTTTCCCAGGCTATAGTCCTCAGTAAGGTCCCCAAATAAAACTGAACTCACAACTCTTTTTTTTTTTGAATTTTTTAGTTTTATTTAATTTTTTTATACGGCAGGTTCTTATTAGTTATCCATTTTATACATATTAGTGTATACATGTCAATCCCAATCTCCCAATTCATCCCACCACCACCACCACCCCCTGCCACTTCCCCCTTTGGTGTCCATACGTTTGTTCTCTACATCTGTGTCTCTATTTCTGCCCTGGAAACCGGTTCATCTGTACCATTTTTCTAGGTTCCACATATATGCGTTAATATACGATATTTGTTTTTCTCTTCCTGACTTACTTTACTCGGCATGACAGTCTATAGATCCATCCACGTGTCTAAAAATGACCCAATTTCATTCCTTTTTATAGCTGAGTAATATTCCATTGTATATATGTACCACATCTTCTTTATCCATTCGTCTGCCAAAGGGCATTTAGGTTGCCTCCATGACCTGGCTATTGTAAATAGTGCTGCAGTGAACATTGGGGTGCATGTGTCTTTTTGTTTTTTTGTTTTTTCTGGCTGTGTTGGGTCTTTGCTGCTGTGCACGGGCTTTCTCTAGTTGTGGTAAGCGGGGGCTACTGTTCATTGTGGTGCGTGGGCTTCTCATTGCGGTGGCTTCTCTTGTTGTGGAGCACCGGCTCTAGGCGCGCAGGCTTCAGTAGTTGTGGCACGTGGGCTCAGTAGTTGTGGCTCTCAGGCTCTAGAGCACAGTCTCAGTAGTTGTGGCGCACAGGCTTAATTGCTCTGTGGCATGTGGGATCTTCCAGGACTAGGGATTGAACCCGTGTCCACTGCATTTGCAGGCAGATTCTTAACCACTTGGCCAGCAGGGAAGTCCCAAAATGCCCATTACTGAAAATCTGAGAGTTTAAAAAGGACAAGAGAGAGGCCTCTAGGAACTGAGGGTGACCCCCAGCCGACAGCCAGCAAAGACATGGGGACCTCAGTCCTACATCCCCTAGGAACTAGATTCTGCCAACACCCTGAATGAGCCTGGAAGCAGAATCTTCCCAGAGCCTCCTGATAAGATGCCAGTCAGCTAACACTTTGCTTTTGACCTTGTCAGACCCAAAGCAGAGAAACCTGCTAAGCTGACTGGGACTCCTGGCTTTCAGAACTGTGATAATAAACTTTGTTGTTTTGAACTGCTAAAATTGTGGTAGTTTGTTACAGTCGCAATAGAAAACTAGTGCAGGAGGGGTCTGGTTGGAAGTGGGGCTTGAAGTCTAGTCTGCAGAACATTTATAGAAAGTTGGAAGAAAGTTGATCATGAGCCTAAGGATGGGGGAAAGGGAATAAAGACCCACCCCCATGCCTTATTCTCCTCTGACCTCTCTCTCTTTTTTCTTTCTTCTTCTTTTTTTTTGGCTGCATTGAGTGGCTTGTGGGATCATAGTTCCCCAACCAGAGATTGAACTCAGGCCCACAGCAATGGAAGTGCTGAGTCCTAACCACTGGACCACCAGGGAATTCCCCTCTGACCTCTCTTTTCATTCATTTTGGACTCTCTCTGTGTCTCTCTTTGTCTGTGTGTGTGTCTCTCTCTTTTTATTTATTTAGTTAGTTAGTTGCACCAGGTCCTCGTTGTGGCAGGCAGGCTCCTTAGTTGTGGCATGTGAACTCTCAGTTGAGGCTTGCATGTGGGATCTAGTTCCCTGACCAGGTATTAAACCTGGACCCCTGCATTGGGAGTGTGGGATTTTATCCACTGCATCACCAGGGAAGTCCCTCTCTCTTTTTTTGCTAAGATGTGTGTTGCAAGTATCTTCTCCCAATTGAGACTTGACTATTTTTTCAAAATAGACTTTATTTTTCAGAACACTTTGTTTTACAGAAAAGTTGAGAGGATAGTAGAGAGTATGTGGTTCAACTTTTCCCTTTGATGAAGGTTTCTTTGATAAACACAAGATTGTAGTTTAACATTAGAAAACAATTACGGTAACGTATGGCTACCATAAAATCTACCATTTTAACCATTTAAAAGTGTGCAGTTCAGTGGCATTAAGTATATTCACATTGTTGTGCAACCATTACTACCGTCAATCTCCAGAACTTTTCATCTTTCCAACTTGAAACTCTGCCTATCAACCAATAACTCCCCATTCCCCTCCCCCAATCACTGGCAGCCACCATTCTGCTTTCTGTGTCTGTGAATCTTTTTAATTAATTAATTAATTTTTGGCTGCGTTGGGTCTTCGTTGCTGCACGCGGGCTTTCTCTAGTTGCCGCGAGCGGGGGCTACTCTTCGTTGCGGTGTGCGGGCCTCTCATTGCAGTGGCTTCTCTTGTTGCAGAGCATGGGCTCTAGGCGCGCGGGCTCAGTAGTTGTGGCTCGCGGGCTTAGTTTCGCCGCGGCATGTGGGATCTTCCCGGACCAGGGCTCGAACCCGTGTCCCCTGCATTGGCAGGCGGATCCTTAACCACTGCGCCACCAGTAAAGTCTGTGAATTTTACTGCTTTAGCTTTAAAAAAACTTGAGGTGAAATTCATGTAGCATGCAATTAATCACTTTAAAGTGTGGAATTCAGTGACGTTTAGTGTATCCACAATGTTGTGTGACCAACAGCTCTCTAGTTTTAAAGCTTTTTCATCACCCCAGAAAAACACCCATTACCCATTAAGTAATCACTCCACACTCCCCTTCCCCTCATCCCCTGGAAGTCACTAATTTGTTTTCTGTCACTATCGATTTACCTATTCTGGATATATTGTATGTATTAGTCTGCTGGGGCTGCCATGATGGAATAGTACAGAATGGATGGTTTAAATGGCAGAAATTTATGTTCTCACAGTTCTGGCAGCTGGCAGTCCAAGATCAAGGTGAGGACAGGTTGGTTTCTCTGGGTCCTCTCTCCTCGGCTTGTAGATGGCTGTCTTCTCCCTGTGTCCTCACATGGCCTTTCTCTGTGCATGACCATCCTTGGTATCTCTTCTTCTTCGGACACCAGTCATGTTTGATTAGGATCCCACCCTTACAACCTCATTTAACCTCAGTTACCTCTTTAAAGGCTACTATGGTCTGAATGTTTGTGTCTTCCTCAAAATTCATATGTTGAAATCTTAACTTCCAACGTGATGGTGTTAGGAGGTGGGCCTTTGGGAGGTAATGAGGGTTGTGGAATTCATTAAAGAACCCTCAGCTGAAATTGGAGTCAGGACAGGCCATGCATTGTCAACAACTCCAAACAGGAAGAGACCAATGCCTACATCTCAGACAGGAAGGTGTTGCCTACTTTACTATCCAGCAGGAAGAAAACTTCTCTCCACCAGATGACAGCCCAGCCAACCAGAGACTATAGCAGCCCAACCAATGAGAAGCCTCCATACTTTGGATTGGACTCCCAACTCCTCCGCTGGACTCTTTAGTTATTATAGCCCCTCCCAGATATCCCTCTTTCCCTATAAAAGCAAGTTCCTCTTCCTTGTTCTCTGGATTTGCCTGTGGTACACCAAATGCAATTCCTCTGGTTATTCCTCAATAAACTCAGTTTTGCTCGTAAAATAACTGGCTATTATATTGTTAAAGTTGGCAGGGTAGAGTCCCCATAAATGGGATTAATGCTATTATCAATGAGACCCCTCAGGACTCTCTAGCCCTTTCCACCATGTGAGGACTCAGTGAGAAGACATTGGCTATAAACTAGGAAGAGAGCTCTCAGCAGAACTTGACCATGCTAGCACCTTGATCTTGGACTTTGATCCAATTTTATTTCTAGAACCCTAGATAAACGCTGCTACTGATGCTGAAGATTTAGATTTAGATTCTTTCAAATCTGTGAACTGTGAGAAATAAACTTCTGCTGTTTATAAGCTACCCAGTCTGTGGTATTTTGTTATAACAGCCCAAATGTTAGACAAAGTCTTGGTCACATTTGGGATTACAGTTTCAACATACGAATTTTATTTATTTATTTATTTTTCAGATGCTTTTCCATTGTAGTTTATTACAAGATATTGCATATAGTTCCCTGTGCTATACAGTAGGACCTTGTTGTTTTTCTGTTTTATATAAAACAGTTTGTACTTGTTAATCCCAAACTCCTAATTTATCCCTCCCCCCTTTTCCCCTCAGGTAAGCATAAATTGGTTTTCTATGTCTGTGAGTTTGTTTCTGGTTTTTTTTTGGCCATGCCACGTGGCATGGGGGATCTTAGTTCCCCCTCTAGGGATCGAAACTGTGCCCCTTGAGGTGGAAGCACGGAGTCTTAACCACTGGACCACCAGGGAAGTCCCTGTTTCTGTTTTGTAAATATGTTCATTTGTATCATTTTTTTAGATTCCACATATAAATGATATCACATGATATTTGTCTTTCTCTGTCTGACTTACTTCACTCAGTATGATAATCTGTAGGTCCATCCATGTTGCTGCAAATGG